GTCGAAGATTGAAGAGAAGTATTGAAGATGGCTGATATAGAAGGTGCAATAACATTGGATGTGGCCTTCAGGATACTGGGAAGAAGACAATCGGGTCCTGGTGCTTTGCTGCTGTCGAGGGAGGCAAGTCTTGCCCTGACGTCTGTTACAGTGACTTGCTTAAACATACCAAATGCAGATTGAGGCGGGGGTCCATCTGGGATGTCGTACCTGGGGTTTGGATCAGTCACTATCTTATGGAAGAAGGTGTTCAACTCGTCAGCTGCAACCGCAGGAGGGATGTGGGAACGACATCGATTAGTTATGTGGTTGATAGTGGACCACAACAGCTTTGGGCTCTGTTTATATTTTAGGCACACGTTCTGGAAATGGGAATTTCTAAGTCGACGGTAGAGATTGTTGCACCGAGTTCTCAGAGAGGTAAAACATCGCTGTAATGTAGTGTCAATGCAGCCACTGGCGCGATATCGACGAAAAGCTGATTTCCTCTGGCGGATGAGTGCCAAGAGCTCTGGGGTCATGAACGGGCAGTTCTTCTTGCGCGGTCTTGTGCGTCTACCAGGCTGTTTGTACGGCGCTACCACATCTAGAACAGTGTTGAATTTACCCAACCATTCGTCGAGCATTTCATCGACGTTTGTAGACGAGAACGAAGACAAGTTTGCATGCTCAAGCAGACCTATTAACTCTGGGAAGTTGATGTTCCTATAGTCGCGGGTCTTCAAGGTAACATCGTAAGCAGGCAGTTGTGTATTGGACTTTACATCCGGTAGGTTGGTGGAACGACATTTATTAGAGAAGGGACAAGAGACCAAGACGAACGAAACGACTACATGGTGATTATTGAAGAGTGAGCAAAGAGAGGAAGAGATCAAGTCTGAACGACAAGATAAAGGGCCTGGGTAGCTATGGCAATTATGGGCGCGCAAGTAGCTACCCAGGCCAACGGAACAAAAGGAGACAAAAGGTGAGTACGCGAGTGCATGCAGGCCAGCTAGAAAAGGTACGGGAGGAGGTACCTAACATACCTCCCCTGAGTGAAAAAAAAGAACCGCGACCTCGCGGGAAATAATAAGACGATAAGAAAAATAGAGAGAAACAATGACCGAGGAAGAAGAGAAGAAAAAAACAAAACAAAACAAAAAAAACACACACACAACGCACGGGCCTCACAAAAGTGTGTACTAAAAATGCACTACAGATCATTACAACCGTCAACATTCCTGTACTACTTACATGTATAGTGTGTACATTGCCAATAACAATGGGCCCAAACGCCCCTTCAAAAACATGGCACAAAAAATAACTATTTGAGTTCGACGAGGGACTTGAATTGTATTCTGATGACTAGTATTTTGCACGGCCAATACAGCCTAGTTACACTTTAATATACGACATAAATAAGACAGCGTGGCTCACCATGATTGGACCCCTAATATTAATGACGGACAACCGCGCGCACACACACTACAAAAATCACAAAATAAAATAAACTGAAAATAAATTTGACGACGAAGGACGGATGAAAAAGAAAGAGAAATATAGAAAGTAGCTGACCTGCATGACTTGGACGAGACGAGGTTGACATAGAAGAGACGAGGTTGACATGGACGAGACGAGGTTGACATAGACGAGAAGCGGTTGGAGACGAGATGGGCATGGACGAGACGAGGTTGACATAGACGAGACGAATGGCGGTTGAGGACGACTGGGCCTGGGATGATCTCAGGGTCGTGGGTCGATCAATAATCGGGCGCCAATGTTGAATACGAGAAAGGACGACTGACGACACATTATCCAGACATTACAACGGGAACAGGTAGGTTGGTGAAACGAAATTTATTAGAGACGGGACAAGAGACCAAGACGAACGAAACGACTACATGGTGATTATTGAAGAGTGAGCAAAGAGAGGAAGAGATCAAGTCTGAACGGCAAGATAAAGGGCCTGGGTAGCTATGGCAATTATGGGCGCACAAGTAGCTACCCAGGCCAACGGAACAAAAGGAGACAAAAGTTGAGTACGCGAGTGCATGCAGGCCAGCTAGAAAAGGTACGGGAGGAGGTACCTAACAGACACATAAACATAAAAGCGGAGTAGGTGCTACAGCTGATCATTTTATCGCAGGTTGCGGGACTAAACTAATACCAGTATGCAAGTACACAAGAACTGAATAAAAGCTGAATAAATACGACTGCATGACATTGGAGAAAAGCACCAATTAAAGCAAAACAAAGCGACACATCACTCAATGAAAACATTTTCAAAAAGGAGCTATTTTAACCGGGTACATTGTGGCCCGTCATTAAGAAGGCAGGCAAGATGGGCGTTAAATGCAGAAGACGTATTACAAGACTTCATTTCAAAGGGCAGAGCATTCCAAAGTGTAATCAACTGACTGATGTTTTGCAAGCATACAAGATGCTATAGCTGTGTAAAACACATTGCAAGTGTGTTTTGCAGAACAACACGGTTTTAAGCGAAGCATCATGGCAAAACCAAAAATAGAACACAAAACAGCATCAGGAATCCAAATAGCAATGACAAATCCAGATAAAAGTATTATTTCTCTGCGGATTTTGTCGGTGAGCGAGGAGAAAGGCTACCGAATTCTAGCTGCCAAAAGCTGTTTTTAAAATATTGCACATGTATATGTACATCAGTTTGCACATAAGACTTTCAAATTTTATCGATTTATTTAATCCGTCAAATTAACAGAATTATTGTTTTACAGAAACATTGCTTCCTACATCAACAAACGAGACGGACAATTTCTCGTCACCAAAAAACTATTCTGTTGAGCGAAGGACCACACAAAATCAGGTCGCCCTGTGGAAATTCAACACAACTGATAGAAAGCCATAATAGAACCGGTTCATGACTCACCTGACTCCTCAGGCATGAATTCAATCCAAGCTTTCTGTCCCAAACCAGCTCTATTGACAGCTGCAACTGAAATTTGATATTGTGTCAAGTATCTTAGACCAGACAAGGAGATTGAGTTGCTGACCCAGCCTGGAATAACAAGAAACAAGACATTGATATCAGGACAGAACCAGTAATGCATTTAGACTTTGGGGTTTTTCTGCAAACTGGGAAGAGTTTGTCTACCGCCACAAAGGTCAATAATGTTTGCTTTACTACGTTCGTGGAAGAGAGTAAAGAAGATGAACTGACTGAAACTCACTTTCATGGAAGGAGACAGATCCGTGTAGAGAGCAGTTGTATTGCTGACATGGGCAGTCCTGATGTGTAACACATTCAGTGGCATTGAAAGTAATTTGATATCCAGTGAGTACTCCATGGGAAAGTGCTGGTGACATTGGCTGCAAGCAAGCCAAGCATGAATAAAAATGGTTTGCAAATATTGGAATTGGATACTCTAAAGTTCAAGATGTCTCATGTAGGAGAAGTTGTGTCTCTTGACAGCTGTGTACTTGTACACGTTCAAGGATTATAGACGTATTTTCCACACACAGGAATTATTTGTGCTATCATACTGCACATCACACTAGAAACTGATGATGCAGCCATGTTCCTAGGCTTTTTCAGATTCTGTAGATAAGACAATTTTGTGTGTACATCTAGAGCTGGACTCCAAGCTCTTGGAACTGCTTTCGAATAGTGTGGATAACTAAGTTAAAAGAGCTAAGAATCAGTTTTCCATGTGATCGCAAGGCCCGCCAAAACCAGTCCGGTTGGTCAGGTTATTACCGGACCAACTTGTTGGCCACCAACACTTCCTACTGAGAAGGTCATGTGTACCCACTACTAAGTATATCATGCACGAAGTATGAACAGCCATGATGCTACCGGATCAATCAAAAACTGCTTCCTGGGGTCCTGATTGCACTATGTATTACAAAAGCATGATGGAAATGTTCTATCATATCATGACTCATGACTGAGAGGATAGGAACGCCCTTCCATGGATAGACCATTGATTTTCATTCAGTGATGAACTGCACTGTTGTCTTACCTTGAAGAATGTGGTGACATGCCCTGCTGAACTAGACACTGTAGAGAGATTTTCCGGTGTTCCTGGGGCTGCACATACAGCAGTCAAAATTGTTCATCAATCATTTATACAGAAAATCACAACTTTTCCCACTGGATTAGGGAATACAATATCTGTCATGTTGAACATGCACAGGTGGACACCAAACTGAAAGACAGGGCCACAACAGAGTACTTACGGGACTCAGGTGTGGTCAGCTTGAGAATTGGACTTGGACCACTGCGACCAACTGCATTCTCTGCACGATACCAGCAACTGTACTTGGTGGCTGGTTGAAGACCAGTAACAGTGACACTGGTCACTGAAAACCTCTGTACAGTGTCCTTCACATATGATCTGTACTCCGCATACGGTCTGCAAGTGACTTCATAACTTGTTATTGGTGAATCGCCAGTTGATGATGGCGGGACTAGACGAAGGCCAACTGACCTTGCTAGAAGAGAGTGTGGCATAATTATAGCAGGTACAGGATTGAGCCAAAATCTTGGTATATCTGCATGGACACAAAAGTAAATAATACCCACAATAAAGTTCACGGTCCGAAATTGTTTGGTGAATTTTCCTCAAAATACGTTGAAAGATTCATACTTCAGGTTTTCATCATAATCTATGATAGATTATTATGTCCCTACCTGATATACAGGTTGCACAGTGATGTCATCATTTGAAGTGCTTAGGATTGCAGGCTTTTGGCCAGGTCAAAGTTATAGGTGTGTGTGTGTGGGGGGGGGGGGACATGGGAAGACCATTTTTCCATTGCCCAAACTTGTCTTTCCATGCAAAATGCAACGTACGGGGCGAACCCCTTACCTCACCCCAGACACATGTGCCCTTATGTACCCTCTAGTAGTGACTACCGACTGCATTTTCGTTGAGTGGCATGAAACAAAATAAAAACCAACAAAAGTAGGGGAAGCCACATTTTCACGGGGGGGGGGGGGGGGGGAGGAGGACATGGGAAGACCATTTTTCCATTGCCTAAACTTGTCTGTCCATGCAAAATGCAACGTACGGGGCGAACCCCTTACCTCAACCCAGACAAATGTGCCCTTATGTACCCTCTAGTAGTGACTACCGACTGCATTTTCGTTGAGTGGCATGAAACAAAATAAAAACCAACAAAAAGTAGGGGAAGCCACATTTTCACGGGGGGGGGGGGGGGGAGGGGGGGGCTCAATCAGATTAGGAGGGCGCTGCACACCTACCCTCCTTCGGCTAGTATCCTGGATTGAGTGGAATCATAATCCTTACTTCCCACATAATACAGTGAATAATAGTTGAAGTCATTTGTGTAGGCTGAGCAGCATCAACTTCGCACGAATTCATTTCCCTAAACAGTAGTATTCGTAAGGAAATTTGTTGCATCCTCACTGGAGGTCACACTTTGTTGCATCCTCACTGGAGCTCACACTTTGTTGCATCCTCACTGGAGCTCACACTTTTCCCGCCGACTTTAAAACTTGACACTTGACTGACTCACGACTGCCATCCAGAGCACATGAGAAGTCCATCGAGCATTCTACTTGGATAACCTGCAAGAAGGCATCACTCCCTGCTCAGTATACAGTGTTTCGCCAGAATACACCACTCATCACTTGAGCTTGAGTAGGCTGGGGAAGATATTGTGCTTCGCAGGTTCTTGCAGGTTTGACGAGCTCCAGTGTGGGAGCAACACATTTCCGTATTAAATTATCGTGTTGCTACCACTATTTTAGTTCTATTTGTATGCTAGATTCGATGAAGAAACTGGAAAACAAGTTTCAACTTTCTATCATTTTACTGGAAAACAAGTTTCAAGTTTCTATGTAAGTCTAGTCACTACCCAGGACAAAGTCATTCATGTTACATGTATTTTCTCTAGTAAGTGAGACGAGTGTTACTCTGTGATCAGCTTACTGTAACAGGTAGCCGAGTGGTAGGCGCGGTGAAATCAACAAGAATTAGTTTTATTCTACTTCTTTCAGGTACACACCTGAGATATAATTATTAGTGAAAGAAGAAGCGGCAAAATTAATAACTTTCTCTCCGGTGCTCACCTAGAGGTTGACTACTTCTTCTTCGAGTTAGCTTTCGTTGCTATCTAATCTAATCTAATTAAAACAGAAATGCGCAGCAGCTTTTATGCAGCAGACGCCGTACGCTTATATGCGGAGATACACTAAAATTAATATACATAAGGTCGTTCCGTATTGCTTCCGTATTAGTCGGGCAGGGATACTACACTTACCAAGAACAAGTAAACGAAGTTGTTTCCAATCATGACCATAATGACTGGAAGCAGAGCAGTTGTATATGCCAGAATGTGCTTCTGTTACTCCAAGACGAAATGAATGTGTCCAACCATCTGCACCCAGCGTTCCCCGAAGCAGCACTCCATCTTTCGACCAGGAATACTTCAGTTCATCACCAGATGCGTTGCAGTGCAAAGCCAGTGATGCAAGCTTCCAGGATGTCGACATCACTGTCATTGATTTGGTGATGAATGTGATTTGGGGTTTTGCTTTAACAAGAAAATTCAAAGAAAATTCAGTATTGCAAAAAGTACTTCACTTTTAAGGTAGCAGCCTACTCATAAATTTCATATGGCATTCAATTGACCGTAATTTTGGTGTCTCTCAATGGATTTGAGTGAAAATTTCACCACACACTCCTGCCACTATGCTGGCCCTCTGGACATGATTTAAAAGGTCTTGCGCCTCACTGACAGGCTTTCCAGGCCGGAAAAACTCAAAATTCCGGCATAGTGCCACGGTGTGCGAACCACACAGGAGCCAAACAAATGCATTTACAATTTTTTCACATTTACGTGCCCATTCTGTCCGTGCGCGGGATCCAAACCTAAAACTAGTCCAGAAGCAGCCATGGGTGGTGGGGTAGGGCCCCTCAACGTGGCCCTGCAATCTGTCACAACGGAACGAGTGGGCGTTCTCTCAAAGACTCCCACAGACCTAAGTCAGTTTTTGAATTTTTTTAGGTTTAGGGTGTGCTACGAGGTCGTACCTTTGATACAACATCCAGTGCTGGGACCTCCACAGCAAGCCATTTCCACAGCGCTGCACACCAAAATCCAGGATACCCTCAAAAATCGGCAAAGACTGCCACTCACGTTCCACTACTGCCTAGTACTGAATCCTACCTGGCTTCTTGACACGACTCAAACTTGCCAAAGTTACTAAATCAACGTCAACTAAAAGAATCAAGCCACATACCTGCAACGTCACGAGGGTGCTGGCAAAAGTCGTGCAGCCCAATACGTGGTTTTTAACGTGATTTTTTGGACTTGGAGCAAAATTCTGCACACTTTCGCGTGTTTCCATGATCCGACAAGCTGCGCACTGTCTGCTCAGATTCAAATACAGTGCTGCCAACAAATGACAGCGTGCAACAAAAAATCTTTCCTTGCAAGGGCACATTTTCGGCCATAACTGAATGGAAATTGAACGACTGGTCAGATCGGGACACAATTTTCAGAGAATTTGCAGCTATTCATGCTCTTTCAACTGACGTAGCACTCAATATGAATTTACAAATTCGATTTTTCAGCGAATTTTTGGGTAGTCTGCCACCTTAAAGTGGACAAGTAATACTTTTCCTATAAACGAAATAATTATTTCACGAGAGAGAGAGAGAGAGAGAGAGAGAGAGAGAGAGAGAGAGAGAGAGAGAGAGAGAGAGAGAGAGAGAGAGAGAGAGAGAGAGAGAAGAGAGAGAGAGAGAGTATGATTTTTTTTTTTACCAGTGAGTACAGTACTAGCCCCGTTTAAAGCCCTCTCGTGAATAGTGCCTTGTCTCCGATAGCCAATAAAAAAAATAGCCCTCTCTTGAATAGTCCCCCACGTGGGCTCGTAGTCAAGCGCTTGTGCAAGTTTGGTGGTACATGTATTGTGCTAATGTTCTTGTCCATGTCACTGCACTGGTTAATTCAGGACAAAAAACTGCAATTCATGCAGTTTCTGTTGTGTCGTGATAGTTTAGAGTAAGCTTTAGATCCTGTTCTTCTTTGTTCTAATGCTAAATGACGTAATTATACCAAAAAGAGAAAAAAACTAGTACCGTCTCTCGAATAGTGGCGCGTCTGTGTGTGTGTGTGTGTGTGTGTGTGTGTGTGTGTGTGTGTGTGTGTGTGTGAGAGAGAGAGAGAGAGAGAGAGAGAGAGAGAGAGAGAGAGAGTATGATTTTTCAGCCTGTACACTATTAATAGTGCCTTGAGGATTATTTGAAAGGATTTACACATTGCATTTTACGGAATACTGATATCATATTGGAAACAGGGCACCTGTGACAGTATGACCCGGATTGATCACTAAATCCTACATAGTATATTTCCACATGAATCGAAGCCATCTGGTCACATGCATATGCACACTGGAAAATGTAAACACTCCGTAATAGACAGGAGAAGGGACACTTGGATACAATTTAAAAGCAACTAACTATCTGATTAGAAGCGGTGAACTAACTATCTACCACTGTTAATACATAATATGACGTAAGACAGTTCATGGATAAACAGCGTGGACCCCCACAATCTAAGGACCGCGAAAGAACGAATTAAAAAAAGACAATGTAAAATGGATGGAACGGAAAACTTGTTCGGATCCTTTTTTACGTTGTCCTTTCCCGATTTGTTCTATTTCTTTTGTTACATCATTGCACATTATCAATATTCGTTGTCACATGTCGAAAAAAGAAACCAAAGGTCAATTCAGCTCTTCACTCCAGTCCACAGAAATTCCACCGATAACGAAAGACAAAAAAGGGAATTTGAGCTCAAAAAGTTGAACACAAGTCTCGTGCCACAGAACAAATGTTGACTGGTCCCGGATGACGACGAGACTGTTGGTATGGGACTTCGCTTTTATTCGCATAGTTATGCAAAAAAAGTTACTTCAGTAACGTATGGCGCTTAGCCAGGGTCCACACAGCTGTAATTGATCTTTGGAATTCTCTCCTTTCCCTCTTTCGATTTCTCGGATAAAGCTTCTAAGTTGGAATGATGTTGGTTTGCACATTGGAGATGTAAGAGGTACTGTATATAGGTTTGAAGTCTTTGTAAGTCAGTATTGTGATTAATTGCTGCTCTTTCTGACCATCTATTACCTAGTTAGAGAGGTGGATAGTTGCTCATGACCCATATCCAAGTGTCTCTTCTCTTCTCTACATTGACTACTTCAAGTAATCGATTGATTGATGATCTATGCATACACTCTAGAACAGCTCTAAAACTCACCGCCCACTGCCAGGTGGAAGCTAATGTGGAAAAAGGACGTAGGAGCAAGTTCATAGCGACTGCACTTGTATTCACCGGCTATATCCTTGGTTAAAGTCCGTGGCCAAACAATTGTGTTGAAATGGTTCACAACATGGAAATGCCGGTACCATACGATATGTTTCAAAACACGGAGATGTGCATTGTTGACCACTGGAGAATTCTGTAGGTACCAGAAGTGTTGTGATGTTG